GTTAAGCTGCAGTGTCTTTCTTTCAAAATGGCGAACATGCAGAGCTTAACAGACATATCAGTTAGCCTCAGATAGATAACTCTTCTTTAAAACTAGTGCAGTCCTCATTATTTCACTAAATAGTCATTTCACATGAAATATGTTTAGGCATTCAATACATTTACAAAGTGGATTAAATACTGACAGATAATTGTAACACTGCTGACATTGGACAACAGAATCTGTCATTCAAATCCTGAGCCAATTGGATGCAGTCTGCAGCCAACAGGCATCTACCCCCTTTCCCCAGGTGCACTAATCACCTGATTGAAACCAATCAAGGAGTCAGTCAGAAGGCAGCAGGAGACAGTCATTCCTAAAACAGTCAAGGAGAGCTTCTGAAAGAAAAACACTGTGCACTGAGACTTCAAGCCCTTGAGGAGCTGCTGCCTGCTGCCTGCTGCTGCTGCTGCTGCTGCTGCTGCTGCGGAGGAGGAGGAGGAGGAGGAGGAGGAGGAGGAGGAGGAGGAGGAATGTGTCAGGACTGAACACTGGTCAGGTCATACTGCCGGAGCAAAGAAGATGGCGAGCTAAAGGCGCAACTTCGAAAGACTCAAGATTCCCTCAAAAGGCAGGCCTCAGGCCTGGCTGTCTGGTTAATGGGTGTGGTAGGATGTGTGGTAGGATTTCCTCTACCTAAATAAACATGTGAATTCGTTGGACATCTGCACGCACATGACACACGTGTTTGGTGCATTGATTTATACGTATAGAATTGGGAATATTTAGCATATGTTGTATGGAGGGTAAAAGGTGCCCTTAAGAATCTGTTAATTGAAGGCCTATTTTCTTTTATTTAAATTGTGGGATTTTCCTTGATTAAGTTAAAGTGTTTTTAGTTATTTGTTAAAAGTTGAACTTTGAAATACACAACCGGTTATCAACATTCTGTGTCATGTGTTTAATGAATTCTCCACCAGCGTCAAGAGTCTAACCTACATTAGCCCAGTACACCTTAATTTGTTACATCTTGTTTTTTTGATAATTAATTATTTATAAATGCATATTTCAGTTAAAGTAAATTTTGTATCCTGAGTGTTACATAATGCTTCGACCACAGCTTCCATAAAAGTGGGTAAACGCTGTTTTCATTCAGTTTTCAATACGTCTTTTAAAAACTCTGTTGCTATGGTAACTGCAACCGGAGTGAAATCAAGACGTTAATGTGACAAAAACAGACACAGTGAACGTATTTGGTTATAAACATGCTGCTTTCCAAATAAAAAAAGGATATGGAATAATTTCCTCAAGATAAAAAATACTCAAGTGTTGTTTTTGTGTCTCAGCTCATCCTTCTTTTTCAAGCTGTAAGCTAGTAGCCTACACACTAGCTACAGTAAAAGTGTTGTTGTTTTTTACTATTATACATTAAGTAGCCAAACTTTTCATTGTTTTAAAAAAACAACAACAACGGGCCCCTGCAATCTCAAATTCACAATAATCCAGGATTTTGTTATTATAACAAAGATAAATATGATTTTACTCACCTGGTTTTAAATGGTTGCTTCTCTCTGCCGATGTCCGAGGACAAAATCTTCTGCACTCTAGGCTATAATCCATTTTAACTTTTGTTTGACTGTGTTGCTTGCTGTTTGATTTACTAAAATAAATTGACTTGAGTTCTGGAAACAGAGCAGTGTTGTTTGTGTTATGCTGCCATCTGATGATTATTAGGCCACACTTCCAGACTGCTTATGGACTATAAAGTAAATTAATCCAGGAAGAACTTAAACATCAACAAAGATGCTTCTGCAGACTATTGCCATGGATTAAATTTCTGTAGGCTACAGTCCATTTGAAAGATCTTGTATTTTTAAAGACTTTTCCTTGTAACAAAACATAATTTTTCATATTTTTCTAAAAGCTGTTTTGTCACAAGAAATGCTCTCTGTTGAGTTTCAGTTTTAATGATTTCAATTGTCATTACAGACTTCATCCACAGCAACTGAGAAGTAATTTAAGTTAAATATGTAATTTAATGCAGTTATTATTTTACAAGATAAAAATATCTGAAGTTTAGAATAAAGTCAGATTTAGAAAAGATGAATTTGCAAGACAACTGAAGTAAAAGAAAACCACACTTACAAATAAATCTCCTGCAAAATGTTTATTATGAAGTAAAAGTAGGCTACGTAAGTAAAATCAGAAAGGTCTCCGTTTTAAAGTGGAAGTAGAAGCATTCTGTGACTAGAATATAGTCTTTAGTTCTTAAATAAAGAGTCTCATTTTGGGTTGTGCATCAATCTTTATTATGACAAAAATATAAACTAATGTACAGAGCAGCATCGTAGCGTGTCATTAAATATGTAACATGTTCACAGAGGTTGTACGGACGGGTAGCAGTGAATCAGCTGAGCGCGTCTCAGTGAGTGTGAGCCGAAGAGGAGCAGATAAACGTGTGCTGGGTTTCAGGGGAGCAGCTCGTGGAGATCCAGCTTCGGGGCGTTTCGACCAGCACGCAGTCAGAGCCTACGTCGGACTCACTGCTGCCCGGCGGCGCCCCCCTCAGTCTGGAGAAGGACACAGAGCGACCGTCAGCCCACATCCAGCGACCGGGACCTCCAGACAGACCTGGGGAACGTGAAGAGGAGTCACACACATCTTCTGGACGTAACGGCTGACAAAGGCTAACACTAGGGTTGTAAATATCAACAAAAACAAAATGGTAACCAATTTCAACAATGTGAATACGTTCTTGAAGTAGAAGCAATTAGACTAGAATTGATTTCAGATCTCTTCAGGTGTTTAAAGCAACAATATATAGGAATCAGTTTGCTGCACTTTGGCGACGACAAAAGTTCTCTAAGTATAGCTGCACTGTTGTAAAACACAGTGCTGTTAACTCCTCCTCCTCGTAGACAACGTGCATTTGTTGACGATCAGGTTCTGTGTTGTGAGAAGCAAAAGAGCCATGTAGACTGACAAGATTCAGTAAAAATCTGACTCTGCGTCTCGTCTATAGCTCGCTGTAGAGACGACTTTTTTTGTGTCAGATGGATTTTTTGATTTATTCGTTTCAAACCTGAGACAGAACTCGGGTCAGACGACTTCCTGCAGCCGGTAAAGCTGCTAAACAGATGACCTCGACCCGCTGACAAAGTTACATAGTGCTGAAAACAGGCGAGTGGGGCGCTCTGTGGACATGAGAGAGTCGCCATTCTCCCCGTTGAACGTTGTCGTAATATTAAATCGACTTTGAAACAACTTTTTTAAGATGGAAAAGTTACATATTGCTGCTTTGACTGTGCACTTTGTTGATCACTCACCGATCCAAAATGGCTTCCTCCCTGCAAACTTCCACAGCCAGGTCATGTCTCTTCTGGAGCGCACGCTGGTCAGGCTGCTGTTAAATCTGAACACAAACATTAGAACAACAATCAAAACACACATCGAGAGGAGTCCTCACACTTATAGAAACAACAGAGGGGAAGTGAAATGGGATGCATGTGCAGGCAGAAAAACATAAGAGATGCAGGCCTCTGCCTTTTAGTCTTTTAAATTCACTTTTTAAATAGAGTCTATGATTTAAAGTCAGGCTGTCAGCATCAACTAGTTAATCACAATGATTAAGGTCTGAAATTAATGCATTACTTTAAAGGAAACATGTAAAGGTCAAAGTGAAAATAAAAGTGTGTTTGTGTTTACAGCAGTGAGCAGGTCCTCTCTGCACTGCCCCAGCTCGCCACAGACGTGCTGACCACGTAGCAGCGTCTCCTGTAGTGAGTCCAACCGTCGGGACACGAGCTGGTGACCGACTTCCCCGTCTGAGTAAACAAACACAATCATCATTAACACACGAGCAGCCTGTATTAGTGGATGTGAAAAATTATTTAAGTGACCCAAAATAAACAGTTGTGGTCCAAGGATCGAGCCCTGAGGTACCCCACAATTAATATTGTATAATTCAGGTTTTATATTATACTTCTGTTTTCTAATTACCTTTCTACCCACTGATGTGCCACCCCTCTGATACCATATTAACTAAATATCACTGTAAAATCATCACCTTGTGTTTAGGGGGCGTGTCTCTCATAGACCGTAACACCGGGAAGGTTGCGGCTGTAACTGGGGGATAAATATTTGTTCTTTTAGAAAGGTGCGTTTAGTATCCTGTCAGTGGTGGTCTTGACTGTTCTTATTTTAAATCCATAGTCTGCCAAGTCTGAGACCGAGAAAAGACTGAGTAAAAATGCTTTCGATTTCGATTTTTGTTGTATCGAGTACTACAACACTGGAATGATCAATGGTGTCAAATGCTTTTTTAAAGTCAACAAAGGTGCTTACTTAAAACTTCTTATTCTCTATTGCACTGGATATTTGTTTGGTTAATTACATTAAGTGCCACTGATGTGTAGTGATTGGTCCTAAATCCATACTGACTGCTGCTTAAACTAACCCTAGTATAAACCTGTCTATAAATGTTTCTAAACTGGTTTCAAATAATTTCTCTAATATTCTTGAAAACTGTGGAGGCAAGGATCCTGGTCTGTAGTTGGAAGAAACATGTTTGTCTCTGTTAAGCAGAATTACTTTGAAGTCCAGTGGATTCAAGCAGAAAACTGAAAATAAATTTGCATGTGTGTGTTTGTGTGTGTACCTTGCGCTGGCGTAGCTCTGGCTGGTTTCTGGGTTCTGGATGATCCATCTGAGGAGGGTCACCAACCGGGAGCTCCTGCAGGAGGCGACTGTGAGACCAGCGACTCCACCCGACATCACCCGGCTTCAGCTCCTCCAGCCGGAGAGGAGTCATACTGTGGAACTGATGAAGGAGCAGAAACATATTAAGTGCGTGCGTGCGTGCGTGCGTGCGTGCGTGCGTGCGTGCGCGCGTGTGTGGATAAACTGAATCTTACCGTCCACACCTTCTCCTCAGACCTCCTCTCTCCTGACAGATGGACCTGAACAGCAGCAAAGGGGTTAAAAATATAAAACAGCACATGTAAGTATACATAGATAATATAAAAGTCCCTAAGAACAAACAGGAGTAGAGGATCACACTCACCTTTAATCCTCCTTCTCTGACCCTGTGTCCGGTGTTCCCGGTCCCTGGCTGCTGCCTGCTTTGGGGGTGGATGTGGGTGTAACCGGGGCCGCCTGGTCCTGGGGTTCTCCCTCTCCATAGTCCAGGTAGGGCCGGCGGTTTGGGACGTCTCCTCGAGGAGGGTGAGGCTGGTTCTCCCACAGCAGCTCTGCCTCGATGTCTGTGACAGGGTCCTCTTCCTCCCTCAGCCTGGGGGGATCAGGGAGGCGAGGAGGAGGGAGCCGCTTCTCCTCCTCCTCCACCCTCAGGTCGTCTGGATCGCACCGTCCTTGAATATACCAAAGAGAGAGAGTTCTTTCTTTTAACTACTCCAAACTAAAAGGTTGCTCCAGGCAATCTGTCCTTGAAAAAGCTGCCGGAGTGGGCGTGTCCTACAACTTTTTTCCATGCTTTGCGCAGATACGTCGGCAGACATTGTTCTCATATTATTACGACTCAAAATCTTTAAATCTCAGGGTTTTTTTACTTTCATGTGACTCTTATACTCTGTCTTATTTACAGCTCGTCTATGATTAAATAAGTTCCTTCTAAAAGAAGATCAACAATCAACCAACAACCAACAAACTCAAACCTTAGCTCGTCCTGTTCTGAACATCGATATCTAAACACAAACATTTACATTTAACAAACTAAGGGGGAGATTTAAAAATAGATTTGGTCTTTGACAGTTTAGGAGTTGATTTTTATTTACCTCCTCTGGGGTCGATGATCTCAACCCTGGCGGAGGTCCTCTGTCCCAGGACGGCGTTTTTCGGATTTTTCAGGGTGACAGTGAAAGTCTCGTGATTTTCCTCCAGACCGTCGTCTATCAGGTAGATGTTCCAGGTTTTCACGCTGACTCCTGAACACAGAAGGTTTTACCGAATGATGCAGGCATGTTGATTTAAAGGTCACATCTTCCCCATGTTTCTCTAACTCTAACATGTGTCTCTGGTCCGTCTACAAACCCCCAATGATGAGAAAAGTCCATCCTCTCCGTCTTCTCCCTGCTCCACTTTTCAGAAAATGTGTGCTCAAACAGGCCGTTTGGAGATTTTCCCTTCATGACATCACAAAGGGCAGTAGCCCCCCCCAGGTGGGTGACACTCCCACAGCTAGGTGTTTGTTCTGCCCTCTGAGTCTGCCTTCTCACCATAAACAATAGGACATGGACGGAGAAAGACCGAGTACACCCGAGCCCTTCCAGAGAGGGGGCGTGGTCAGACACAGCTCATTTACATATTTAAAGGTACAGACACAGAAACAGCCTGTAAAAGAAGCCAAACAGAGTCCTGACCTGGGTCAAACTGGATGAGAGCGGCTGTGCTGTGGGTGAAATCTCTGCCGGGTTTGGCCGATCCCTCCTCCACCTGTGTGAACAAACATGTTAAAGAAGAACCGAGCAATGATTTCGATTTATAATGACGTTAATCTTCCTTTAAACCAAGAGACAAGGTACCTGGATAGCTATGTACGCCGGGTCGACGCTCTTTCCGCTGCGTTGGATTTGGATCTGAAGCGTCCCCGCCGTCTCACAGGTTCGGTAGCAGGTCACCGACAACTCCACCCGAGACCAGGACAGGTCCAGTCTGCAGGAGACACACAGCTGAATCCTTCATATTGTCACAAGTATTTCTGAGTGACACAAGCTGAAGGTCGGCGCTGGTTACTTCCTGGTTCGATCACTGAGCTTCAATTCTGAAGAAGCCGAGTTGGTAAGATACTCGTTTGTATTTTTAACACATAGATTCATCGTATTAAACTGTTTTGTGTCTTTCTACAAACCCACATCTCGGGCAGCGCCATGTTTCCTGCCGGGTCAATGAGGCGGAACTCGAAGCTGTCGGCCGTCACCTCCATATCGACGGGGAGGACGAACACGACGGCACGCTGGTCCACGTCCCGCTGCGTGAAACGACCTTTAATGTAAGCTCCTGTGAGAACAGAAAGAGCCTTCATGAGGAACGTTACTATTCTCTCCCGATACTGGAGTGTTAATCTGTTGCTAGGTAACGGCTCGGCTCACCTGTGACAGCGTTCTCCAGGTATCCGAAGTGAGGCGGTCTGGTGATGGAGAACTCCAGCTCCTCCGCGGGGCTGTCGGGGTCCGAGGCCTGCAGGTGTTTGGAGGTGATGAAGACGCCGTATCGACCGCCGCCCAGGTCCACCACGGTGCTGGGGCTCCTCCTGGTGGTCAGACTGGGAGGCGTCCGGTCCACGCGTTGCACCTGAACGCACCACAAGACTTTTAGCAGCTGGTTACCCAACAGGAGGACAATATTTTTACTCGATTTTTTATCCTTTATTTTATTCTCAGTGAGACACTTTTTATTTCTAAGGGAGAATCGGCCATAAAAGTTTAAATTCAGACATCCTGGTACTCGATACTTTGATGAAATGTGACGGATTATTTTAAGATTTCATTATTTTTAATCTTTGAACCTCGTATGATTTTATAAATTTTTTCAGTTTCATGCAACAATGAGGTAAAATAATATTTGTAACATCCAGAAATGTTGCATAAAACAACAAATGTTAACACACACATACAAAAAAAGAAGGAACTTCCTTATAGTAAGGCAGAGCTGCCCTGGGTGGGTGGTCACAGGTAATGTCTGTGTGCGCTGCTGCTGAGGTCATAAAGAAGCGTCAAGCTTTAGGGATCATGCTTCATGGACGCATTTGAGGCGACATTGCGCGCCAAATTGAGGCCAAATGTAGAGGTAGGAAGGAACTGCAGGATGCTGTGTGTTGATGTTGGACACTCAGTTGGGGGTGAAAGCGTCTCTGTGTTGCCGCGTGATTGGTTCATGTGTTTTGTTTATTGAGGTGATTTGTAAATATTGGTTTTGAAGTGGTCACTGTGATTATTAAATATTGTTTCTGTCTGTGTTGTGGTTTTAAAGTTGAGTCAGGCAGAACGGAGTGAAGTGAAAACTGATGCCAATGTTTTTAGATTGGTGTGTGTGTGTGTGTGTGTGTGTGTGTGTGTGTGTGTGTGTGTGTGTGTGTGTGTGTGTGTTTTGAACCTTGTCGCCATTAAAGACGTCATGAACTGATTTATGAATCATGAATAAAGTTGCTTTTTGACACATTTATCTTGTGCCGATGAGTTTCTTGCAGGGGGCTGCATTTCCCTTCATTATTAATTTGAGACTCTCAGAGGTGCAGTTCTGTGTGTTCACCACCAGATGTCGCTCTTGTCATGTGTTATAATCAGCAGACTCAGAGTGAGACTGACTGAGAAGCTTTAAAAACATCTTTAAGTATCTTTATGTTTAATAAAGGAAAGCTTCCTATAAAAATAAAAACACACATATATGTAGAAATGTTTGTGTGAATATGAGTCATGATGTTTTTAAAAAGACGTCTGCATCTTTCAGCACCTCGACGACTTCCACTAATGATTATTAATCTGCTCATTAACTCCATTGATCGGACATGAAAATCGGACACCCAAAAAAAGATGTAAAGAATACCCCTAGATGAATCAAACTTAAACTTTTATAATCAATTAGATCAATTAAAAATAGATTTATCTGAGCAGAGACTGACTGGGACAAACATGACCCTGCCTCTTAGATCGGTTTCTTAGCGTGCGTGTGTGAGGGTTGGAGCAGTTTGGACCTCTGAGCGTTGACTGTACCGTCCCCCCACTCTCGCTCATCTCTCGCTCTAACCCTGTGAACCCACTTCACCGTGACACCGGGTGCTCCAGAACCAGGAGGAGCGTCCTCTCTATGAAGTCACAAATGTGACATTAAATCAAAATTAAATTCTCTCTCACACACACACACACACACACACACACACACACACACACACACACACACTCAAATCCCATAACTCCGGTCTCTCTTAGTCTCAGGACGGTCTGTCCGGCCAGCGTGTTAGCCACCTGGCTGTTTCAGTGTGTGTGTGTGTGTGTGTGTGTGTGTGTGTGTGTGTGTGTGTGTGTGTGTGTGTGTGTGTGTGTGTCCGTGTGTGTGTGTGTGTGTGTGTGTGTGTGTGTGTGTGTGTGTGTGTGTGTGTGTGAGAGAAAGCATGTAACATGCGATTGGAGGGAGGCTGGGGGATGTCTTGGCTCACCTGCTGCTCTCTGCTTCAAATATTTATCTGTGTACTTCCTCGTCCACCTGAGAGTCGAGCCGACTACAACAACACCTCCAGCGCTCGCCAACACACGCCGGCGCTCGCCAACATCTTCTGTTGCTGCTCTCAACGGAAGCCTCTCAGGCCCAAATTATGTAAGTGCTCTTCCTAAAATAAAACCTACCTATACAATAAAATGGCCTCGTCTGATCCAACACAACATTTCTACAAGAGAAGCTGAAAGCAGGCAGCGCCTTCTGCTGGTTGAAAAGGTATCGTTACATGTCTGCAGATAGAATTGAAGTTCCTCTTTTAAACAGCTTTAATTAAGTTATACACAGATGATTTGAGCTTTTACACTCAGATTGAAACAGCACATCTCCTTACCGGCTCCCAGTTACTGCTTGCATCAAATTTAAAACTCTGCTGCTCACTTACAAAACAGAGACAAAAACGTCTCCTTACTTTAACTCTCTCATCCAGGTCTACACTCCCTCCCCCCTCTACGCTCTGCAATGAAAGGCTTCTGATCCAACCTTCACAACAGGGTCCTAAGTCTCTGACTAGACTCTTCTCCTCTGTCGCCCCCCGGTGGTGGAATGAACTTCCAAACTCCATGTGATCTGCAGAGTCCCTTGCACCTTTAAGAAAAAGCTAAAGACCCAGCTCTTTCATGAATACCTACTAACTTAATGATGATGATATTTAAGATGGTTTCGATGCTGATTAGAACTCTCTGCTGTCGATGTGTCTCTGCCTCTGGTCACTTCCTGTCAGCACTTGTGTCTCTGAGTCTGGTCACTTCCTGTCAGCACTTGTGTCTCTGAGTCTGGTCACTTCCTGTCAGCACTTGTGTCTCTGCCTCTGGTCACTTCCTGTCAGCACTTGTGTCTCTGCCTCTGGTCACTTCCTGTCAGCACTTGTGTCTCTGAGTCTGGTCAGTTCCTTCATACCGGCACACACGAACCGCACTCACTTGGCAAACGGACTTGTGATCGTGTTAACCAAACAGGTTTTAGGTGTGAAGGCGCCCTCAGTTTAAATACGTCCTCTGTGTTTTTCTCACCTGAACGTTAAAAACAGCCGGCTCCTCCTTCAGCTGCCCAAACTCCAGGTATCCTCTGTTGCTCCCGTCCGTCGCCAGGAAGTAGAACCTGTCGATCTCTGCGGGGCTGCTCGGGTCGTGCCTGTACGCCACCTTCAGCTCGTCCACGTCCGTCTGGGTGAACCTGAGCGGCGACGACATCGGGACTCCTCCCAGCAGCAGTTTACCGTACTGCGGCGGCTGCGTGACGATGAAGCTCAGGTTGGCGGCGCCGTTCCGGGTCGGTGAGCTGCAGCTGCTCGGCCGTGATGGTCTGCGTGGAGCTGTCCTGGAGCTGCAGGCCCGTGTTATGGTGGAGGGTCGGCGGGATGCGGTCGCCGTGCTTGATGGTGAAGTGGAGGGTGCCGCTGCGGGACGAGTCGCCGTTTGTGACGACGAAACTGAGAAGAGACAAATCGAACATTTGTGAGATAATGTGCTGCTTTGAATCACTCCAGCCTTCAGATACGGGGTCCAAATAACGGAGATTTTCATGAGAACAAAAGTTAAAGTAATTTAATGTTTTTTTTAGGAGCAGTATGTAACTCTGACCCCTAGTGTTTAAAATGGGTACTGCAGTCTAAATTCTAAACATCATAGAGCGCTGTCTCCCCCCCTCCTCTCTAGAGAGGATGCTCACTCAGGTCACCATGTGGTGGACTCTGAAGCTTCAGTGTTTATCCAGCTCTGCATGGGTCTGTAAACCTTTCTGTGTTCTAACCTCTCTCCATTTTTCAAAAGCATCTCCAATATTGATCCTAGTTTGAGCACGTTTCTGCTCGTGGAGCTTATTAGAAACATGCAGAGGCTTTTTAGGTCGGGTACAATCACTTCTATCTGAACCACTTCTCTTGACCGCTTCCATCACTGCAACACCTGTTGACCTGATAACTGCTCTCATATCTGACAAACCAAGGGGCGTCCAAAACGGCCGTGTGGGGGGGGGTCTTAAAAGCGCCTACCTTCTCTGGTCCAAACAAATCCAGAGCATTCAGGAGCAGAATCTAAAGTTAGAAGGAGGACATACTGGCTGCTGCATTGTTGTCAGAGAAGCCAGCACTTCAACATAGCATGTTTCCTTAATGATCAGAGAGTAAGATACCTTTATCAAAGTTACATAAATTACAAAATCACAACATCCTCAGCATCGCCGTCCTACACCTTCAATCTCCGGCCTCAGAGTCAGAATAATTAATGTCATGGCTTTCTAATGAGCAACTCTGACAGCAGCTTCAGTCATCAATCACTCACTAAATTTAACCAACACACACACACCATAGAGACAAGTGACAAAGCGGCGGACCTGAAAAATTAGCCCTGTGTGTGTGTGTGTGTGTGTGCGTGCGCGCGTGCGCGCGTGCGCGTGTGCGTGTGTGCGTGTGTGTGTGTGTGTCTTGTACTCCTCTCAGTCCTCTGCCAACACAATCTGCCTCTCAGCCCTGCAGCTGACAAACTGCCCCGGGCCTCAGCACACCGGCCACCACAAACACCCCCCCACACATACACACACACACACACACACACACACACACACACACACACACACACACACACACACACACGGAGGCAGGTCCTGGTGTAACATCTGGCTCCGATGTCGGCCATATTTGCCCAGGGAAGGCCGTCTGTGGCCGCCGCTCTGGCCAGCGCTGTTGTTATTCTCTTAATAATGCCCATTCATCATCTGCTGTCACAGCAACACAACAGACACACAGATGAGTGATGCTCAGGTGTGTGTGTGTGTGTGAGTGTGTGTGTGTGTGTGCTTCAGATGTTAACACATCTGAGTCTGCATATTGGTCCTAAGATAACACACAAGTCACATTGTTACTTCAGCGTTCTAAACAGAGATTTAAAATCCCCATGAAACGAGACTTCGAGAAGATTCCTCCTGAAACGGGAGAGAACCAATCACAGGATAGAAGGCGGGACATCAAGGCTTATGTTGCAGACGGTTTCACTGCTGCAGGATGAACAAATCTAGAGTTCTCATCTTAAAACAGTAGAATCAGGAGACTAGAACAGACTGAAGGAACCCTTTAGTTCCTTCAGTCTGTCAGTCAGCGTGGCCTCTTTCAGTCCTCCGTCTCGGACTCTTGGCTGTGATCCGGTCTCTCCTTTTAGAGCCAGATAACCAGCCGGTCGGGGCAGCAGGGGTCTGGGTGACAAACCCGGGGTCTGCACACACTCCAGGTCACCCCCCCCCCCCTCCTCCCCCCTTTTAAAAAACTCTGCTGCTGCCAAATTGGCTGGAAAGGCAGATAAACATTCTGCAGCCTGGCCTCTCGTCTCCTGACACTCAGGTTTTTGTTTTTTTTCCTCGGTCTCCCGTCGGCCAAATGTTGTGTGTGTGATACTTTAAAGTGCAGAAACATCCTCGTCTCACGATGTAGAGGCAGATGATTCGCCCTTTATTCTCCTGATGTGTGCAGAATTTCATGCTGCGCTGCGTTAAACGGACCGGGCCAGAAGAGAACAGCTGCTGATGACAGTCCAACACAGACGAGTTAAGTTACCAGCTGATGTTTTGTTTCTTTATTTCATGTGCTCAGATTCTTTTTTATTGCCTTTTATTATTTTAAAGGTTCATTTTGTGGCTTTTTATTCCTTAAATATTAAAGTGAAAGGACAGAGGATAGAGTCAGAAATCAGAGAGAGAGAGAGAGAGAGAGAGAGAGAGGGGAATGACCTGCATGAAAGGAGCCACAGGTCGGATTCCAACCCGAGCCGCCCGCTTGGAGGACTAAAGCTTCCTAGTACACAGGTTTGCACGCAGTAAGCACTAGGGTAAGGCCGCCCCAGGACTGTTTTTAAAAACTTTTTGGGCCTTTATTAGATCGGACAGCTGAAGAGAGACAGGAAGTGTTTGGAGGAGTGGGGGGGGGGGGGGGACGACATGAAGAAAAATTCAAACCCACTGAGATGAGGACCACAGCCTCTGTACCTGGCGTGCAAGACATAACCGCTAGCTTCCATTTAAATACATTATTAAATGGTTTGTTTTCTGCGTCTGTTCTCCTGAGTCTGCTTCTGTTCGAGGTTGTCCTGTCTCGTGCCGGGACACAAAAGTTGAATTGAAAAAAATGAAGTTTATAAATCTGTTATTTGTTTTGGAACCAGATCTTTAATTCAGACTGGATGATATCTCCTTGAGTTTAAATCCCCTCGGATGGTCGAGCCCTCCTGTTTGTGTCACATTGATTTGACTTTCAGGTTTAAAACTCGTCATTAAAAGCTTCTCAATCCGATCGACCTGTGAGAAGGTGAAGGTGATGACCTTTGGCTGTTACAGGTCTTCACGTGTTTGTGCGTGTGGCGGGAGGCGTGTCCTCACCTGAAGGAGTCGGCGTCTGCGTGGTGGCTGTTGTCGTGGGTGTAACACACTCGGTGAGCGGCGACGTCCAGCTGTGTGAAGGAGACCAGCGGGACCCCGGGCTGATGGACCGCGTGGACCAGGCCGTGTCGAGGCGGGACGGACACGGTGTAGACCAGCTCCTCTGGACGACCTGACGAGTCTGACGCCAGCAGGATGTCGGTGTTCAGGACGACTCGCTGACCCTCCGACAGACGCACCGCCTTGCTCAGCAGCACCAAGTCACCTGGAGGCAGAAAGAGAGAGATCAAGAATGAGCTCTCACTTTTAAGAATTTACTGAAATTTGTTGGCAACCAGTCCAGGGTTAAACCCCGCCTCTCGACCAATGAGAGCTAGGATCAGCTCAAACCCCCCCGAGACCCCAAACAGGAAAGGCGGTATAGACTATGGACTTAAGATGTCATGAGACCAGAACGTCAAACTTTGATATGATTCAAGTAAAATTCAAACAGTGTTGATGCCTGTTTGGAAACCATGGCAACACAAATAGAAGAACTAGGCAGCCAAGACGGGGTCATTTCTTCTCTTTAATCACCAAAAATGCAGTCAAACTCTTGCAGAGTGTCTAAAGTGCATAAATATTTTGGCAATATTTTGGTACTGAACGGGGAAAAAAGGAAAAACAACAAAATGTCTCGCAGTCATTGAGACTTCAGAGTAAACCAACATGGCCGACAACGGGCTGGAGGTGAGATTGTTTTTGGACTTTTAACTTTAATGGAAGAATGATCGACATGTTCCACATAAATAAATCATAAAGTCTATCCTGTGTAAATGTGTCTCTGAGTCCTGACTGTCTACAATGAGGGAGAAGCTCGAGTCCCGCTGGCTGTGTTGTTGTCAGAGCCGTGTTTACATGGACGGGACGGCCGGCTCCTCCCCTTGTGTATAAAAGCTGTTTTAGTCAAGAACTAGAGAGAAGAAGAAGAACATACTCACTGATTATTTGGATGTTAGTAAGAGTTTTTAGATCACAAAAAAAATATTATTTATGATTTGAAATTAAAGTTCTTCTGAGGAGTTTGGATCAATCACCTCACATCACAGGAACGTCTGACGAGATCATCTTTAGAAACATTTGAAATCAGGACTTTCTTTAGGTTGATGGAAGGGGAAAATTCTGCTCGATTATTTTGCAGTGTGAACCTCACTTAAGGAGCGATGTGCAACTCTAACCTCAAAGATAATAAAAATAAGTAACGAGTAAACAAATCCACCTCGGCCTCTGAAGCCTGAAATCAAAAGAGTCTGGATTAAACTTCTTCTTCTGACCGGCAGAAGTTAGAGTCAGATGTTTTTCTTATTTAGTAAAAAGCAGAACAATGAAAACTTCAAAAAGGCCGTCACATGTAAATGTTTGGAGTGCGTTGTTGGTGAGGAGGTGGAGCACCCAGAGGAGACGGACCAACGCCCCTCCACAGCTGCTCCACCTCCTCCTCTGTTTAATTATTCAGCGGCTGAGGAGGCCGGTGGTTTCTCACCTCGGCTCCTCCAGGATCAGAAGGCTCAGAGCCAGAAGGGCCGAGGCCTCGCTGGCCGTGTTCACCCGACTGGTAAACGACTGGCACGGTGAGGGAGGGGCGATCAATTATACATGAACCAGGACAGAGACCGGCCGCAGAGACCAGAGAGAGGGGACCACAGAGACCGCAGAAGGTGCACAGTCAGAGTGTGTGTGTTTGTGGAAAACATGCTTCCTTATGTTGTTGTCATATAAAAACTTTAGTGGCTGATTCTTTTTGTCTCTTATTGGTCAGAAAAAGTTGAAATGTCAACATCAGGAACAGAGATCGTTGAACTTTGGACTTTCATTGGATACCAGGATTCTGATATTTTTTAACATGGGTCCTATCTTTATTTTAATATAGCCTTTTTTGGGTCAGGCCGACTTCAAAACCGGTCTTAGGAACCCAAAATCAGGTCAACCGGGCCGTCCATGGCCAAGAAATTAGTGCGCACGCCTCATGTACAGAGACTTAAGTCCTCGAGAGTGGGTGTTTCAAATCTGACTTGTGGCTCCTGTCCTGCATGTCGGTCCCCCACTCTATCTCTCTCTCTCTCTCCCAGGTTTCTGACTCTCTACACTGTCATATCTCTAATTAAAAACATCCACATGGTCTGAAATCGTACAGCGTACGCCCGGCTTTAGCCACAGATATGCAGTTATTTGGTGCTGTGTAATTAAAAGTGTCTCATCGGGGATCTGTAAGGGTATGAAGTAGTGTTCTAGTCAAGACCACACTGACCCAGACCAAGACCCATACCTACATTCTACACAACTCTACAATTCACTTAGCAGACTCTTTTATCCAAAGCGACGTACATCAGAGAGTAAGAACAACACGAGCAAGGATCTAGAAAAAAGGGAACAATGTGAGTAAGAGCAAACGATCAGCTTTGAGTCTGATTGGACACACAGGTGCTGACAGGAAGTGACCAGAGGCAAAGCACAACATTGAGGGCAGTTCTTGAGAGCTCTAATCAGTATAGAAACCATCTTATAAGTCGTCGTTATCAAACAAAAACCATCGTCATTACCATCATCATCATCAATAATATGGAGACCATCATCATTAAGTTAGTAGGTATTCATGAAAGAGCTGGGTCTTTAGCTTTTTCTTAAAGGTGCAGAGGGACTCTGCAGATCGAATGCCTGAGACCAGAGGGCTCCGAGACCGAAACATTTCGGGACCTTTGTCCTCCCATGAATGAGCGAAAACACAAAGGGACGTTGATTGATCAAATAAGAAGTGAGCGGGTGAAGTCGGACAGCGGTGAAAAGAAGTTAAAGTATGAAGCGTAATAAGAGGTTAAACTGACTTGAGTTACTTCAGGCTCCGCCCCCTCCTCCTACCTTTCTGCACAGTGTGGACAGATATGAAGAAGCTCTGCGCCGGGCTCTCGTTGTCCAGGTCGCTGAGGGTGAAGCGGAAGCTGTCATGACCTTTGAATCCGGCGGCATTGGCGGCGGCGGTGTGTGCGTACCACAGACGGTTCATCTCCACGGCGTCCTGCGTGAAGTTGTGACCGGCCGACAGCTCGCTCCAACCGGACTCTGTCTGCAGACGGGTCACACGAATCAGAACCAGAGTTAGAAAACCAGCAGGACCACGACATGATCTCATTTCCTGAAACAATAATACGTTCTGATAACTGCTCTCATATCTGACAAACTGAGGGGCGTCCAAAACGGCCGTTAAAAGCGCCTACCTTCTCTGGTCCAAACAAATCAGAGCATTCAGGATCTCAAGGGAATCTCAAAGGAAAAAGTACAGACTCTTATCTGAGCAGGTTGTTTCCTCACCTTGAACTGGAGTTTACCAAAGCGCGGTGCAGCGTTGAGGAAGTAGAACACCTGGTTTGGGGGCGTGTCCAGGTCTGCGGCCTCTAGGACCACATTGGAGATCACCCTGCGCTCACCTGAGTCCACCTGCAAGCCTGCGTTCCTGAAACACACACACAGAAATAAATAAAAAAATCTATTATTATGATTAATCATGATTCTGCTGACGAGAGGATTCAGTGTCATGTTTAAGATGGCGGCCTGATTTCTGTTCACCCAGACGATCTCAAATAAACTTAAAGGGATACTTCACCCATTAGCATTAATCTTTGTATCATTAGAAACCTGGTAGTGTTTTTTAATGGTCGTGCATCCCGCCCTCATTTTCCCCTGAGATGGGAAATCTTTGTATTTCTGAGTCTGTAAAGGAGCTTCCAGTGATGCAGATATCATCATTTTGTATCATCGGAAGCTGTTGGGGTTAGCGGGGTGAAACTACAACGCTAGTTCATCATATTTTCGACCACTTAAGTAAAAATGTCCGTAAATGTTTTTATTACTATATTGTATAGTTTGGAGAAACTGTACCCATCGACTTTCCCTCTGGGATTAATAAAGTATTTCTGATTCTGATTCTGAACTAGAGGATCTTAGTGGGAGTGGCCTGCGGTGCTGTGCATTTTGGGATTTGGTGTCTTTCATCCACATGAGCCAAAAAGACTCTTTCTGTCTTTTCTCAGCCAAGAAGGCTCCAACTTCAAAATGTATTTCACATTTCTACATATATGACCCAATGTCAATACAGATTCATGTTTCAACGGGGGAAGTATCCCTTTAATAAAATAAACATCACAGCAGGCGTGATACCTTCATGGTGGCAGGGCAGAGCTTGCTGTGTAAGCTACCGTTTTGAAACAAAGAAGAAGAGTCGAGTACTGGTGTTAAGATTGAAGAATAACACATTTAGGAATGTAACAGAGACATTTCTTAAACTGGTATCTGATATAAAAACTTTAAATAAACTGTAAAAGTGTAAGAGAGGAGAGGTGTTAAATGTTTTAAATGTGAGGGAGGTTTGGTGTAAAGCTGCAGAGACTCTGACACAAACAGGAGGAAGTTGAAAGTTTGAGTAAGCAGGTTTTTCCAGCGGGATCATGTGGATTTGAGGCTAGTGTTTATGTGTGGTGCTGTAGTAGAATGTGTGTTGTTGGGGGTGTAGGGCAGGGGCAGGGGGGGTTGAACATCAGAAACCGTCTGGCTGCTTCCTCACTTGGAAGTAAAATCCGCTCAGGACAGACGCTGCCACGTCCATCCTGCAGGAACGCAAAAAACAAGGAGGCCGGCATCTGCCAAGTCTGAGCGTTACTTCTGCCTCGCCGGCCTTTACAGCACCAGCTCGGCCCGTGCCAACACACCCACACACCCGCCCACGAACACACACCAACTCAACCCCCCCCCCCCCCCCTCTCCCCCCTTCTCCAAGGCTCAGTCAAGGATGCAAATTCCCAATCACTCAAATGAAAATATTATGGGTGGAGGTGGAGGAGGAGGAGGGGGCCGCAGATAAACACCCACTCATGCAAAGCTACCGGCCACATGTGCTCCCCCCCCCCCCCCCTCCTCCCAGAATGACCCCCCTGACCTCCCCCCCTCCTGCTGAGAGCCTCGCAGAAGAGGAAAAGGCTTGGGACATTTATCCGTCAACTTTCTTACATTTTAAATACTCAGTTTAAATTAATAGTTATGGCAGACATCAAACTGTTACTTTTGTCTTTGAACAGAAGGTCAGGCGTTTTTTTTATTTTTTATCTTTTTTTGGGGGGGGGGGACAGTGGACAGTGTCAGAAACCGGAGAGAGAGTAGGAAACGACATGCAGGAGAGGAGCCACAGGCCGGATTCAAACCTGAGCCGCCCACATCAAAGGACTTCTATACATGGGGCCACAAGGGGAGGAGCCGGCCGTCCCGTCCATGTAAACACGGCTCTGACAACAACACAGCCAGCGGGACTCGAGCTTCTCCCTCATTGTAGACAGTCAGGACTCAGAGACACATTTACACAGGACAGACTGGATTTAATGATATGCTGATGATACCCAGCTTTATGTCCTTTAGGGGTCTCTGGCCTGGGCGCAGCTTACACTTAATAAGTAAGTAATGTGCATATAAGATAAGATAAGATAAGATATATCCTTACCTGTAGATGCCTTAATAGAAGATATTAGATTTAAAAAATATGCAAATATTAAACCTGCCAGTATGAAGAATATACAAATACTTAAGCTTGCTCCAAACTTTAAAAGATGTCTACTATTTTCATTTCCCTCCTCCACGGACTCGAGCCAACGTCCAGAGAGCGAAGTCAGGCGAGCGTTTAACGCACATGAAAACAAACATTTGATTTCTGTCCTCGCTGTAACGCCTTCAGGGACGCCACCAGGAATGTTTCTCCCGTTGCTGAGTGGGAGCTTGATTAATATGTTGGGGTGCTATGAACAGTCGATTTTAATGTATTCATAGTTACTTTTTAAGGGGGCTTAACCAGGGCTAGACAGATATGTGATGGGGCTATAGCGCCCCCTAGCGCCGGTGTAGTGTCGTGCTTGAACACCTTACATCGCTGCGTTTCAGACGACTATAAACACCACCAACACAGTACATACATAGGTATTATTACATATTATGTAATGAATATAACTTAAACAGTAAATGAATGAGGGAGCAGAAGCTTTTTGTATGAAGTTAAAACTTCTTTAAACCTGACCGTGACCTTTGACCTCACACAGTCACATCTCTCCAAAAATGCTGCATTAACAAGAATTAAAAACTAAATCCTCATATCAGATCACTTCACCTGTGTGTGTGTGTGTGTGTGTGTGTGTGTGTGTGTGTGTGTGTGTGTGTGTGTGTGTGTGTGTGTGTGTGTGTGTGCGTACTTGAGCAGTCGGGGCTTCTCGTCGTTGACCGGCAGCACGGTGACCTGAGCCGTCCCCCGCACCGCGTGGACGCCATCTGTCAGCCGCAGAGCCACGGCGTCCTTCAGGGTTTCTGTGTCATCGTGCATGTACACGATCTTCATGCCTGCAGAGGGGAGGAGGGGGAGGAGGGGGAGAAGGGGGAGGAAGGGGGAGGGGGGGGGGGGTGTGCAGGTGAAAGGGAGGACAGGGAGGAGGAAGAGGAGCAGCAGCAGGGAACAGAAGATTTAGTGTTGGCTGCTCATGTTTGTACGCTTCGTAATTATACAACATCTTTATATTTACACTTTTCAATGAATAAAATCTGATTTAAATAAAAACATTTACACTCTTCTCTTGGTTTATGTTTGGAGAGATAAGGCCCAACTGGTTTCAAAGGGATGAGCTGCTCATTTCGACATCCTGATGAATGGATTCTAGTCCACTTTATTCTTTGGGGGTTAAAAGGGGGCAGCATGAAGACCTCCAGGTCTGTAGGGGGAGCTCTAAGTGTAACTGGATTTGATGAAAAACAAACTTTCTGAACAAGAGATTTTGTTCAAAGAAGGATGAGTGTAAAGTGACGCCACCAGCCTTATCTGCATCAGGTTATACTGGTATCAAGCACCCAGGACACTTTTTAGAAGGAAAACTAGGTATTAGAAGTTTTTCTTATACCCCAAATTTTACAGTAGGACGAGTTAGTGTTTCAAATAAGACGACCGCTATCGTTGAGCTTCAAAGATCATCTTCAGAACCCAATGGGTGACGTCACTGAGACTGTTTTATAAACGGTAAATGGACT